GCCAACAGAGGCTCTTTTCTGTTACGCATTCCCCAGGAGGGGAATTGTGAAGTTTAATACAGACTCTTTTTTTTTTTTTTTTGATTTTTTTGATTTTTTGAAACAGGGTTTCTGTATGTAGTTGAGAGTGATCTGGAACTCATTATGTAGTCCAGGCTGGTTTTGAACTACAGAGACTCTTTTCTTTTCTTTTATTTTCGTGCTGGAGAGATGGATCCCAGGGTCTTGCTCATGCTAAGCAAGCCCTGTAGCACTGAGCTACATTTCCAGCATGAAATGAAGCATGTTTTCTTTAAAAATTTTTTTTGTTTCCTTGTTGCCTTTTTTGAGACAGGGTCTCACTGTGCAGTTCAGACTGGCCTAGAACTCACTATATAGCCTAGGCTGGATTGAAACTCATGGCTATCTTCCTGCCTCAGCCTCTTGAATCCTGGGATTACAAGCATGAACCACAATGTGAAGCAGTAAGCATATTTTAGTATCACGAAGGGAACTCCCTCAAAGTGACAAGCATATGCACAGTCAGCTTTCCATCAGATGCCACTGCTTAGGGCTGGGGTCTGCTCAATGGTATTCACAGGGTCTGAGTCCTGGATGTTACACTCAGCACCACACCCATTATCCTAACTACTCAAGAGAAGAGCTTTATTGTTTATGTTAATATGTACTTATTTGAAGGTTACAGACTTTTAGAGTCTAATGATAGTAAGAGACCTTTAGCCCAGAAAATGTCTAAGCACATATTGACAATTAGCAAAAGGTTATGCACTGAGGATGGGCTAGGTACTGTTACTATACATTTCCTTATACAACCTTCATCAAAACTTGTGAGGGATGAGAATACCAAGGCCCAAGGTCACACAGGTAGGGAGTGTCGGAGCCAGAAGCCTAATCCAGACAGCCCAGTTCCAAGATCAATGTTAATGGTTACCATGCAATACCTGTAACACACACAAAGTTGGACACAGATTTCTGGGATTTCCAGGACCATGCCAGTCTCCAGGTGATACTATCTAAGTACTGGAAACAGAACCTGGATAAGCTCACATTTCAGTGAGAGCTGACACATAGACATAAGGTTCCAATAAGGGTTCTGAGGAAGACATAATGAGTACAGACACTGCTGCCACAAAGCAGCTCTGGGAGCAGAGCATGGACCTTAGTAGGTATGAGTGTGATAGGGGCCAAGCCGCAAAGTCAAGGTCGTCCCTGAGTGGACGCCATCTCAGCAGAAAAGCTTGGCTCATGGTTCTGTAACAGTGCAGAGCAAATACTCAGACCAGGAACGAACATTTCGTTCCCATGTGCTCTCAAGGCATTTGCACTATACCTGGCCAGTGCTCTGGACACAGGTCAGGTGGAGCAGACTTGACTGTCTGTGGAGGATGGACCACCTGGCAGTTCCAATGCCCAGCACAGGCAGAGCTGCACCAGGCTGTCATTTAATACTCAGACACAGGACCAAGGCCTTCTCTGCTCTGACCTGGAATCAAGCTATTGTGCCCACGCTGTGGGAACAGACTCACTGTGCTCCTGCCATGTTCACATTCTAGCCCCATTACCAGAAGTGCCTCTCCACATTCTCTTCTTTGGCATCTTTAGGGATTCCAGTGATAAACAGAGTCCGTCTAACCTGCCAGAGAAACACACCAGGAGGAAAATTCACTAAGGTGAGCCACCGCAAGTGGTCCAGGTTTCCCTCCAATTTCAGTCTTCTGAAAGAAAAAAGAATCAGATGGCCTGGCTTTCTCGCCCCATGGCCTTTGGGACCTACAGAATGTTGCTGTATTTACAGTCCTTGCCAGCTATAAAGGACCCATCTCCAAAGCAACTGTACGAGCATCCTTGGCAGGACAGGAGCTGAGGGAAAACCCAGAGAGGGAGAGCGACTCAAATGGGCCACACAGCAGAGCAGAGGAGACCTGGGCTGAAGCCATGACGCAGAAAGAAGGGCTGCCCTCCGCCTCTGTGTTCCTTCTGTTCTGCTGTCCTGGGGCACAGATCCAAGGCCGGACACATTGGTCAAGTACTGCACCTCCAAGCTGACCCAAGCCCCCGCCGCCCAAACTTCTCTCCTTGGTCTCACTCCATCCAGCCCAAGCCCACAGATCAAAGAGTGAGCTGGCAGAATGGGGGCAAAGGTCCAACACTTGAACAATCCACCAGGAGACTAAGACGCAAAGATGATGCCAAGCGAGGCCCAATATGCAAACCAGGCTTGAGGCCCCACCGAGCTTGTGGCCCCAAAGCCCTGTCCCCACTCACCAGGGTCTCCTCTGTGTACTTGATGGACTGGGTGTGGTGCCGCATGAAGCCCACAGTGAGGGAGAGGTAGATGACAGCAAAGACAGCATGCAGCCAGAGCAGGTCATTGCTGTGGGGACAGCGCGGGCAGGACCAATGGCTCCGTTATCCCAGATGCCTCCAAAGACCCAGTGAATATCAGGGAGAGGCCGGGACCTGCTGGCCTCCCTGTTCCCTAAGAGCCTTGCAACACCCACAGACACCGGCCTGTCCACCCTCGTCTGTGCATCTGCCTCCTCATGGACTTGCCCATCTGAAGCCCACTCCCGGGGCCCACACTCACTGGGTCTCCAGGTTTGCTATGGTTGTCCTTCCAAAACTGTAGGGGTCTTTGTCTGTGGAGAAGCACACAGGGCCATGATGGGGACAGAGCACACCTGCCTCTGCTGAGGGAGCCCTGGGGAGGTGCAGCACTGTGCCCGCAGTCTTTTCAGAGGTGCACCAGTCAGGGCCTCTACTGGGCTCCAAGGTGCTCCCTGACAACTTCTCAACCTGCCACGCTGAGGCAGAGTTCACACTCTTCTCCCTTGGAGACTTTTCTCTCTTTTAGATGCTTTGAGAGAACTAGAAATATCCTAAGCTGTTACCAAGACCAAGCTATGGAATCAGTAGGCATACAAATGTTTCCATGGTGGCATTTGGAAGCTGGGGAGATACACTTCCACACTGATATTGACTGAGCGTCACAGACATCTTCCCAGTCCAGAAACTGTGGCCTCCTGAATTGGGTGAAGGTAGGAAAGTGTAAAACACTTTCTGAAGCCCCTTTATCCTATCAACCTCTACGTTTAAAAATCCTATTTAGACAGAAGCAGAAATTGGTATTAGGGGCCCCAGTTCTAGGCCTGGGTTTGGGGCTGATTCTCCTCCAGACCTTTACTCAGACAGGATCCTTCTCAGTCATCCCAAAACCACCTCCCATCCGGAATGGGGCTTGACTGCGGGGTTATGCTTTACCACAGTGAGTGCCTGTCTCAGCTCCCTACCCTGCCACTGCCCCTTCCAACCCAGACAGATGTGAGGGTGGGTCATTACCTAGCAGGTCTCCCGAGAGGTTCACGGGCAGGATAATGCACAGGGACAAGGCACTGACTGCCACCAGCAGGAAGATGAGGTGCCTCTGGAAGGACAGGTAGTGGATGGCATCCTCTCCACACCTCTCCAGGATCTGGTCATCGCTGGCCAAGATACATAGAAGGAATTGTCATAAGAGGAGGGACTGTGTTATCTAACACTCGCAGCAACCCTAGGAGACGGTGTGCTGTCATCCCTACTTTATTGATTTTTTTTAACATATGTGCATACAAAAGTCCAGAAAGACTGCCCATGCCCTTGGTCCCTGTACCACACCAGAGGCACAGGAATGGCTACCTGCCACCTTATACCACTGGGGACATCTGTGCCCACCTCACACATATGGGTGAGGGGAGATGGGTATCCCACAGCCCTTCCTGCTTCAGTGGCAAGATGGCAGCAGGGAATCACCTTTGGAATGCAGCTCGGGTGTGCCTAGGCCTCTGGCCACCTTCCTTCCACCTTCCCTGCAGGTGAGCCTGTGCTCTGATCACTCCAACGTCATTATACCTGACTGCTCCTGCCTCCTTCCCGGTCCTTGCCATGGCCCAGAAGTGGGAGGTGGCCTGCTCCACATTCCCTCCCTAGGAAGTGCTGTGTCCACTGGGACATGGACTTTCCAGTCTCACACAGCCAGACTCCCTCACTAGAGAGGAAGGGGCTGTGCTCCACCTTTGCATGAGCGGCTTGCTGAGGCCAGCAGCACGGCTGTGGAAGGGCTGGGACATGAGGGCAGCCCTTCCTTCCACCTCTGCTCACAGCGGGGACACTGCCCACCTCCCTCATTGTCTAGCAGGCTCAAGGAGTGAGCATCAGGCACCCAACGTTGTTTGTGGCTCTGAAGATGCTCAGAAATATGCTTGGGAATGAGTCCTTGCCGGCTACTTCTCTCCAGGACAAAGCTATGCAATGAATAGCATCTTCTCACCTGAATCAGCCACCCTCCTTCTGTGCCCTCAACAGTCTCCTTTATTCTCGGTCTCCAAGTGCTGCCTGAGGAGCAGGCATCTTGGCTCTGTCCTCCCCAACGGCCAAGTGCCTGGACAAGGCAGCCCAACTGAAGCCACCCACCCCCAGGCACTGCCCCAGGTACTCACTGTAGACGGAAGATGGCCATCAGCCAGGGGCAGCATCCCTGCAAACAGAGGGGGATTAGCATCCAGTAGTTGGGGTTTGGGAGGCGATGGCTTTGAAATTAAGTAACAATTAGCCTCCTGTTAGACAAACACAGCATTTCCATTCTATGACCAAAAGCTGCCAGTTGTTCCAGATATCACAGCCTGTTGCCCCGGGGCCTTGGTAAGGTGCACCCCAAGCCTGGACCTTTCACTGAACCCCCACATTCTGACAACCTGAGCCTTCCAATCATGAAAGGATCAAGAGTTGGTGAAGTCCAGGGTGCTCTACAGAAAGGGATGTGGGCTTCTGTTCTATTGTTGCTAAAAGACCAGATAGGACGTGGGACAAGGAGAAGAAACAAGCTTAATCAACCGGAAAGTGCCTTGAAGTGGGCTTAGAGAGGAAAAGCGTGGGTGCAAGTTTTATTGACCTTCATGTCTTTTAAACTTTCTAGTCTCTAAGGCTGGCCTGTTACCCTGTTGGGAAAGAAAAATATTTGTTCATCTCAAATATTTGAATTTGAATTCAACAATGACTAAGCACCTACTGGGTACCTGGTGCCAGGGAGAGGGCTAGATAAGCTGGGACGAGCAGACAGGACAATGCAAAACCATAAGTATGAGGCACAAACATGGAGCAGGCTGGAGTTCCCCAGCCCTCTCTGCCTGTGAGTCATTAAAGTCTCTGAATGCAGGGTCATCTGGCTGCTTCTGTCCTGGGTGCTTGTCAAGTTCAGATGGCTTTGTTGATGTGGAGGGCAGCACTGTCCAGCTCTGGTCACCCGACAGCCACAGGGCCCGGAATACAGCCAACCCAAACCACCAACCCCTACCTGTCCCTAGCCCGGCCACAACTCCACTGTCCCTTGGGTACCAACCAGTTCACTTTCCAAGTCTTGCTTCCCCGAGGAGGAAGTTGATGACAATCTCTGTAATCTGGATTTATTGGAGACACAAAACAAAACAAAGTGACAGATGGTTGTAAAAAAATAAAAAAAGAAGTTGAAAAATTAGTCCAGTATTTTGCTGCCTAATCTTAGAATTCAGGACCAAATTTATCGGCTCTCACTGGCTGGGACAAAAATAAATGAGAAATCCAAAGTATAAGTAATTTAAAGAGCAAAATACAAGACACATGATAGGAAAGAAGGAGGTAGAGCTTGTGGAGATTGGAAAGGGACATGGGGATGAATGAATACAGAAGGGAAGGAGGGGGAAGTAAAAAAAGGATAATGACAACTTTTGTATATGTACCAATTCCCTGTGATGAACATATATATTAGGTATCACACACACACACACATACACACACACACATAAACAGAAATAAAAAGCTAAAGAGCAAAGCATAAGCTTTGTAAATATGTAAGATATTGTGTTATTTGGTTTATTATTTACGTGCAAGGTTTAACATTACAGGACATTTCTAGGCCCTGTGAATGGAGTAGGTCCACTTTTTACAAAACACTGCATTTTATCAAGCATAAGTTACCACTGGTTGTCAGGTGCATAGTTATTTTGTGAACCACTAAGAAGCAAACAATGCTGTTAATTACCACAGGACCACCACTCATAATAAGATGAACCCCACCTCAGAGATAGAGAGACGGCAGGCCCCTCATTTGAGAGCTGACGTGCCGTGGCACCTTAAAGGGAGACATTTTAATCTGATCCTTTCCTCTGAACACTTTCATAAAAGTACCCTGTGAATCGGAGGTGTCTATACTATGTGAATTTCTGCTTTTCTCCTACCTCTGGCTCCACCATCCTACTTCGAACAGCACAAAACAAGAGGAATTGTAACTTTTGACACATTTACACAACGGTGCACAGCCACACCAAAGGCAGATGAGCCTGGAGCCTGACCAAGGTCACAGGTCCTCCAGGGCCCCATAAACTTTTTCCCATTGCAGAGTGCACCTTGCTTGGCCGATGGTGGCAGAAAGCATCAGAGGTCCCCAACAGGTGCCCCCTCGTCCAAAGTCATGGCCCCAGGGATCTGCAAATGCCAGAGCAGAGGCCTCTGCCCAACCAGGGACTCAAGGTCAACACCATGAAGGTGGGGGCTGCCCATGCTTCTCAGTGGGTGATCAAGGCCCTGGGAGCTGTTTTCCCCACTGCGCGAAGCCCAAGACAGTGCTCAGGGCACTCTGTCCTCGGAGTAGTCATGTCACCGAGGAGGAGGTCATCCCAGGTTTCAGGGTGGGCAGGTATACTTGGAAAAGCCACCCTTGCACATGGGCCCTGCTTGGCCACTCAGTGACACACTTCGACACTCTGACATACTCACTCACAGTCTGGAGTATTCTTTTACCTGTCTGCTTCCGATACCAGGGCAATGCGGCCATAATCCCAGAATCTTCTTCTTATGATCGAAAACACCAAGATTAACAACTAAAAGCAAGAAAGAAACCAAGTAGAAGTCCACTGCATAGCTCTAAAGGAAAAGCCCACCCGCCCAGATTTAGCAGGGTGTGAAGGACATCATCCAGGCCCACAGAGGGGACCCCAGGCCACACAGCTCCGTGGTCCAACGCTCCACTTGCTTCCTTCACTGGCTCCTATCACCCCTGTCCAAATCGCAGCACTCAGCCTGGAGTATCCTCAGCCACATGTGTGAGCCTGCCCTTTGCTCTAAGGCAGAACTGAAGCCATGAGGCCTGATCTCAAGTGGGAAAGTATGATCTGGTCTTGGGCATCCCAGAACAATTTCTCTTCTCTTTATACAGTTTTTGTTGTTGTTGTTGTTGTTGTTGTTTGTTTGTTTTTGGCAGCATCTCTTACTGTATTGCTCAGGTTGGCCTCAAGGGATCCTCTTGCCTCAGCTTACTGAGAAGCTGGAACTACAAGGCACACAGCATCAATCCCAGCTTTGGAGGTTCATTTAAGATACAGAATCAAAGAACCTGGTTTCCTAGGCAGAGCAGGGTTGACTGGGTTTCAGGTTGAGTTTGGTTTTCTTGACATGCACTGTGCGGATGCCAGCACAGGTGCATTGAGCAAAACTCCACAGGGTCCTGGTGCTCTGGGCTGCATTCACTCAGCAGGCTGGAGTCTCCCAGCTGCAGGAGGGGCCTGAGGTCTTTCCCTCTGTTGGCTCTGGAAACCTATTAACTCTAGACTGCTGCTCACTCCTCCCCGGCCACCCTGGCTACCTCCCCTCAAGGTTCAGGAAGGTAGAGGGAGACACCTCCATTAGCAACCCTGCCAGCTCTGGATGGAAACTGGGGATTGAACGATTTGTTTATTAAGTTTGCAGGGCTGGCTATGGAACCCACGGTCTCCCATATGGTAGGCGAGGCTCTACCATGGATCTGCGCTTCCAGCCCAGAAATGGATTTTAAAGGTTGGCCATGATTTTCTGAAGGGAATCCAAAGGGCCTGCACACAGGCCTTGAAGCCTTGAGCCCCAGAGAGATCTTCTCAGGGGAATCAGGAAGGTGGGCATCTGTTCTTGAAGGCGAGTGAGTCTCGGGGTGGAAAAACATGAGGCCGCTCCACAGGTGCCGAGCTGGGTCTGCAGCCTGCCCTCTCCTGCTCTTCTCAGCAAGTGTGAAACCTGGTTCACAAGTAACAAGCCACAAAAGCAAAAGCAAAAGCAAAAAACCAAAACAATAAAGCCACCCTTACAAGGCTAGGTGTGGTGGCACATATCTATAGTTCCAGCTACTCTGGAGGCTGAGGCAGGAGGATGGCTTGAGCCCAGGAGTTTAAGGTCAGTGTAGGCATCACAGCTAGACTTCATCTTTAAAAAAAAAGAAAAAAAAATCCACCCCACACCTACCACACATGCAGTGGACTGACTTTCTTTCCAACTGGCCACCAGCATGCCAGTGGTGTGGGGAAAAAGAGGGAGTGACCGCATGGGAGCAGCATCCCACTCTGATCCATGCACACTGAGTGCCTCCTTTGTCCCTGGGACTCACCCTGCCAGGCCCTGGAGAAGGCAGGCAGTCCCTCCGCCATTAGAGGCATACAAAAAAGCAGCTGCGGTTCTACACGCACAACCTCCGTAGACTCCAGCACTCTCTGAGGGAGGGATTATCGCAGTGTCTCTACTTTCCAAAGCAGACACAGCCGTCACATGCCCTCGGCGACAGAGCTGCACACCAGCAGCAGAGCTGTGCCTGACCTTTCACCAGAGTGCCCCAGATGCCCCAGGGTTAAACACACACTCGAGAGCGGAAATGCTTGCAAGAGTCTCACCAGGAAGCAGCAGACATCGATGAGCAGGACAATGGGGATGCCTCCGAAGTTGACACCCTGGAGCACGGTGCTGTTTTGGGCTGAGTTGTAGCAGTAGGAGTCATTGGGCTTGTCCCCGAGGCCCAGCCCCTTCCGGATGGACATGGCCTTGGGCCACCACAGCTCCAGGAATGGGGAGTTGATCATTGCACCTGCCTTCCCTGCAGAAAAAGATGAGATAGGCCGTCAGCATGCGAAATCTCTGCCCGTTTCCCCAGTCAAGGGTGGGTGACTCTTGGGCTGTGGGGAGCAGTAGCCAGCAGTACAGAACTGGGGATAGCTGGGCACTGGACTCCAAGTGCCTGGCACAAAGTGAGGACAATAGCCCCACTGTGAAAAGAGCTGAGAGGATCAGAGGGGCTAAGTGATGGCTCTTCCAGGGGACACAGCAGGCAAACACCCCAGAGGGAGTGAGAAAGGGAAGTACAAAGTTGCTGTCGCTCCTGTCGGAGAGAAGCTGAGGTCACTGTAGCCTCAGGACTGCTGCTACAGGGAAAGGACCTCCTGCAGGAGCTCCAGGGGACCCAGGGAACAGGCAGGGGCAGGAGGAGACCCAGATCATTCATGGGCACACCATGGTCCCATCCAAACCCCGAGGAAGGCGTCACTTCTGGGAACGTCACAGCTGGGTCTGGGCGAGCGGCACACGGGCACACTGGGATCAGTGGCCTGCCCAGCGTACACAGCTGCTTGGAGGAACAGATGGAGGGCACCCAGGGAAGCTAGGACTCATTCCACCCTCCCATCCTGCTGCTTTTCCTCTCAGAGGGCCAGCATTTCTGGAACGAACTCTGCCCCAGGCTGGGTGCTGGCCTGTCCTCTGGCCAGGACTCATTGCCCAGGTTGAGGGATGCACCTCTCCCTTCACTCCCCCTCCCCAGCCTGGGTAATTCAGACTTCCCAGGAAACTTGTTCAGTCTGCTCTTTCTACTTGGGGGTGTGGAAAAAAAGCTAGGGGAGCCCCAGCAGAGGTCTCGGACTCCTGGAGAACTGGTGGGATAACCCTGTGTGGACTGACTCCTGTCTGACTCTGGCATGGCCAGCTCGAGACCCTCACACACTGCCACACAGAAGGACGTGCAGGGTTGAAGGGTGCAGCCCAGCACAGCGGGACTGCCGAGGAAGCCAAGTCCCCATCTCACCCTGTAAGAGCAACTGGCATGGCTGCAAGAGGTGGGGTGTGACCATGGAAACATGAGTGGCTCCGAACAGTGACAGAAGATACCTGCAGGACAGGTATTCTTGGTTTACCCCTGGAGATCATGCCCAGGGCTTCGCCTCAGGGAACACCCCACCCCAACAGTGTCAGGCCACTCCCGCCCTGCCTTCTTGATCCCACACTGGCCAGTCACATGGGGAGGACCGAAGAACAGGGTGTTGGAGAGGTCCTCATGGAGAGCTATCTACTGACAGCACGGCAGCCTGGGGACCTTCAGCTGCTGCACCAGGCTCTGCTGCCACCCACATCCTGCCGGCTTTCCTGACCCTGTGACTGGCTGCCCTGGCCTGTCACTGGCGCCACCCACTTCCCGTTTCAGGGTTCCGGATGGAAACCCCTAGTCCCACCCCTGACCAAACATCTCTGAACACAAATGCCCACCACACGGGGATCCCGGTTCTGCCCTGGAGGTTCTTTCCTTTCCTGGCTCTCCCCAAAACTCCCAGAGCAGTGCTCCTCTGTGCCACCCTGCTCCTCACCCAGCAGCTGGCATTCCCAGCTTCTCCCTTCTCCAAGGGCTCCAGGCCCTGTCCCAAGCACAAACCCCCAGCAAGGCCTCACACAGGCCCTGGGGCTGCTGCTGCATCCCAAGTTCCCTCGAGGCTTAGAATCAGGAGAGAACACAGTAGAACAAACAAGGACGGAGAGTGGAGGAGAAAGGAGCACCCACCTGCGCAGGGTGCTCACAGAGCAGCCTGGTCTCTGGAAAAGGGGAGGTTGCTGGATGGGTGGGCGAGGTGTAGGGGATGCTGCTGGTGGTGCTGTGTTTGGGTTTTGGACAGACAGGCGGGAGGGAGGCTATGGCCTTCCCTCTGCAACCCAGGCACACCTCCAAGCCACTGTCCTCTTTCTACATGGGCTTGGGTGTAGGACCCAAAGTTTGCTAAGAATTAAGGGTCAGCTAGCAAGCATCCAGCCCAGGCTGGAGCTCAGGGGCCGCTCACCCAGGCAGCCTGTTCTCCGGCCCTCTCTAGGTGAGGAAGCAGGGGAGAACACAACCTGTGGCCCACAGTTCCTCAGGCTCTTCTTGCCCAGTCCTTACCTGTGATAGGCAAGAAGTCAGACCCTGTTCAAACAGCTCTGTCCCTGCTCTCAGGGCAGCCCCTCAACCTCCCCCTCTGAGAGGGTACGGGGGCCAACCCATAGGGGTAGCCCTGACAGAGGAGAAGGCTGCGGGCGGAGGGCCCAGGCCAGCAACCAGGGTCTGGGGGTGCAGCCTCCCTAGCATCTGAGAGGGCCGGCGTTCCATTCCCAGCACTACAAATAAACTCTTTTTTTCCAAAATCTTAGGAATTAGACATCCTGTCAGCAGAATCTTGGCTTCATCCCGTTGGCAACATTCGGTCCTGCCGTATTTGTCAGGTACATACAGGTGGAAACAGCTCTGCATCCATCCTTTTCACCGCCCACTCAGCCTCCAGACAACTGTAACCTCTGAGGAAGTCAGCCCTGGTGCTGAAACGGGAAGCTGTGGGCTGTGTTAAGTGAGCAGACTCTGCAGCGGAGCTCCACACCACACTCACTAGGCACCCACTCTGCGCCTTGTTGTCCTTCTCCACAAAACAGGGGCGATGATGCTCTCTTGGGGGTGCTAAGGGGCACCCTCTGAGCCCTGCCGGCAAGCCCTGGGCCCTGGGCTTGGCTTTTTACATTGTGACCCCCTTCCCAGTGGGTAACAGCATTAACCCCCTCCCCCCGTGTCCTCTCTGCTGGAGCAGTTGGACGGCCAGGACTGCTCTGTTCTAGGCGGAAGCAGAGAGGTCGTGAAATAACCGGAGGTCTGGCTTCTCTCTCCACCCTGAGGTGGAGCAGGCTGAGCACAATGCCGGCCATGGGGAGGCTTTCTCTGTTTTGTTCCTCTAGAGTACGGTAGGTGCAATTCTCAGTGCTTTTGGGGCTCCAGGGCCTGTCCTGCTGGCCCAGTCCTGAGGTTGAACCCCAAAGCAAACCTTAGCCAGCGTTGCGGAGAGGACGCCTGGATCCTCTGGGCCATGATGCTGCGGCCCCTCGTGGGGACACCAGCGACAGTGGCGAGGGTCTAGGAGCTCGCCGACTCTTTTTCCCGCTTGCCGCCACTATAGTGCGGAGTGCCAGGCTCGTTCTGTTCTTCCAGCACTACAACCCACGCGCGTTCCCGGTGCTGCTGGGAGAGCAGCGGAGGGGCCGGAAGTCTTAGTATCCTCCGACCCCGACCCGGATCCTGGGTGCTTCCGGGTCGTCCCGGCTAAGGGCGCCCTACCTGCGCAGGCGTTAGACCCCTTCTTGTGGCGAAGTGAAGTCCTGGCGGCTGCGCAGGCGCTTCGCGCGGCGGAGTCGCAGGCGGGGCCGGATTTGGACTTCCGACTTCCTGGTCGCCTTTCTCAGGAAGAGGCTAGGCCACGCCCGGCTTGTAGGAGAGCTGGACCTCTGACGCTGACTTGAAGGGCGGAGGCGGCTGTGAGCGCTCTGGATGGCAGGGGACGTTTTGCGCTGTGTACGTATGCAGAGCTCCTCAGGGCGGATTCGAGCCTGTTCTAGGATCCCATCACTGGTTCTCAGTACTGCGTCCCCAGTACACAGACCGTCAGGGTTTCCTGACTTCTCCTCCATGTCTGGTCTTTATCATTTTACTGCAAGGAAAACAATATTCTCCTAACCTCCCAGACGCTGAGTGTGACTGTCTAGTGAGGGTGTTGCTTCCCTCCTCTCTCATGTCCTTTCTGTGCCATCCGGCTTCTGCCTTCCACCTCCAAGCCCCACACCCCAAGTTGTGGAGCTTTAAAAGTTAGACTTTTTTCCTTTGAGACAAGTGGCTTCTCCAAACTTTTGGGCCTAGTATGTAAAAGGTCACTAACACTTCTGTGCAGCCCAGGTGACTGGATAGAACTGACAAGAGTGGTCACCGAGGAGGTCAAGCCGTTTCTATGGGGAAGAGGGAGGTGGGTGGGTCCTGGGAGGGATAGAACAATCCTAGACAGGTCTCTTGTCTTATTGTGGTCTCCCCTCTACTGTTGCTGCTCTAGAAGACCCGAGCACACCTATACATGGGGAAATGGTGATTTCGTGATGAAGCTCTCTCCTCCTGGGAGCTAGCTTTGAATAAAGGCTTTTCTCTTTTTTCACCAAATTGGCTCCTTCGATCTGGTCAGCTGCAATCTAATGAACCTAGGTGGCCAGTAACAGTTTTGGTGAAGCCACCTAGGAGGTAAGTCCTGGCTTCTGAATGTCTTCCGTTTCTGGTTCCAAATTGGGAGGTGATAGCACTTGGGAAAAAGGACTGACTACTCTAGGGACACTTAAGTAGCTTTAGGGAACATCTTTTTATGTCCTTTTTTACCCAGTTTGTGGCATCAGCTACCTGTAAACACTTTCTGGCTTTTGTTTGTTTTGAGACAGGGTCTCACTGTCTAGTCCAGGTTGGCCTTAAGCTCACTATGCAGCCCAGGCCTCAGACTTTCAGCGATTCTCCTGCCTCAGCCTCCCAAGTGCTGGGATTACAGGCCTGTGTCACCACGCTCTAAACACTTGTTAGTGGAAGGAAAAAGTTGTCTGGGGAGTTGATGGTCTCTGCCTGGTTTCCCATTGGAAAGTGTACTCCAGGGACCTACTGTCTCCACGATTTAATGGGAGTAATGGAATAGCCATTTTGACCTTCCCTTGGGTCGTTCTATGGTACCAGTTTGGGTGAAGTTATTTTTGCCATTTGAGGTCACTTGAGGATCATATGGACTTACTACAGGTCATTTTGGGTACTGACTGGTGTGAAAAGAGATACAGATGTAGAAAAAAATTCTAAATATTTGCTTGTTTTGAAATACTCCTTTGATTTGGTTTCTTTTATCTTTTTCTTACTATACTAACCTTTATTTCTGAAATGGGCAGTTGGGCTTCAGTACCATCTAGGGCCCCCCACCCTACATAATGAGTAACTGGACAAATGATCACCAGGATGCTGTGATGAAGAAAAAGTTGATAAGCTGTACTATTGTAACTGCATGGCCCAAGTACGTGTTGGACTCTGGTGAAAGGTCGCCACCTAATGGTTAGGTAAATTATCACATCATTTTACAATTGGAGTTATTTTGTGAAAATCAGGTAAATGGGGTGAAATTCTTTATATTCAGGCCTTCATGGTATTGCATAATGAGGATTCTAGAAATGAGGGGGAGGGAGATAAATTACTGGTTCAGAAAGAGGAAAGGATTTTTCCGCTATTCCAGATGGTAAAACTCTAGACGAAAAGGAAAATTTAAGAAATTAACATTTTTAATGCTCTTAATCCACATTCAGTGACTGTGGAGCTACTTCACTTCCAGGCCCTGGGGAAGATGAGGGACCATTGGACTTGCAAGGCAGGAATGTTTTGCCCCTGTAAGACCCAATAAGGGGCTGGGGATTTAGCTCAATGGTTCTGCTGCCTGCCTTGTAAGCGTGAGGCCTAGAGTTCAATCCCTGGTACCAAAAAAAAAAAAAAAAAAAAAAAAAAAAAAAAAAAAAAAAAA